TAAGTTTGAAATACAGTCAAGTGACAAGGATGACATCTGGTCTGGCAACTCACTCTCTAAACTTCCATGTAACTCAAGAATAAGGACTTTGAACCAAGACAGATTAATGTGTTTTAGCCCCTTCTACACCGCAAGTTTTCAGTGGTATCAGTACTCGAACATGTGACTTGAGAACACCGCCTACGAGCTCATGGCCATCACCACTCAATTGCCGTGGCCAATATGAGAGGACGGGAATAAGGTAATTTAAAACAGATTTTAAATATATAAAGTTGTGACGGCTCTGTCCATGACCTTCTCACTAACAAATCCTCTTGGGGAATCTTTAGTTCTTAAAAACTATTTTGTTAGAACGCTCCCTCTGAAGAAGATAATGGGAACATGCAAAGTAAGACTACTATATAAAGTCTAGGCTTTAAAGTTAGAGAGAGATATAGGTAGGTAGGCTGCCAGCGGAGCAAGGATTAATCAAATTCAAAGTGTAACGCAGGTACTTAGTATTTGATAATTGTAATAATTAAGGTGATGATTTGTCACTGGAGAATGAATAGATATTAGATAGCTAGGAAGGACTTGAACCAGAAGTAAGTGTACAGGTAATTTAAGTCTTCCCATACCTCGCGGATCTCGTTAATTGTCTTCATATTACAATTATCAAATGCTAAATATCTGCGTCACTCTGTATATTGATTAAACACTGTTCCGCTAGTAATCTATCCTCTTCTCTCACTAGCTTGAAAGCCTAGACTATATATATATTAGACCTAATTTACATATTCACATCCTCTTCAGAGTTTGAGTTCAAAAATAAAATAGTTTTTAAGGTTTTTTTAATAGTATAAAAAATTTAAGTCAATTCCTACTTGATCAACAAAGAAAAATTTTATTTTAGCTTCTTTTTATTAAATAGTTACAATTAATATAAATATGTATATACATAGGACAGAATCGCAACATTAAGTGGTAAATAATTTTTATTCATTATCATTAAAGTATCGTATTGTCATCCAAAATAATCGTTTCAGTTCAACTGAATTAGGAATTGCAATATCGTACCAAAAGTCTAATACCGGTATTCGGTATTTTTTCGATATTAATACCGGTATTAGAAATTTTAGAAAAAGAAAGAAAACACAGGCGTGTTTCTTTGTTTCATTTGCCAGTTTTATTAGAGAGTGTAAATATCCCAAAAATAGTTTGTAACTTATAAATTATTACAGTAAATAAAGAATCACGAAAAAGAAAAAGAACGTCTTATTTACAATGTGCCACCATATTCTTTTCATTATATAAATAATGAAACCAAACCGAAGTATTATCAACTGACTTTTTATGTTCTTCAAAGTTATTCTTATTTATTATTATGGGTTATTATTTAAAAGTATATATATAATGAATCTGAAAAATATTTTGAACCCTAACGTATGATATGCAAATACAATGTGAATAACAAACTCAACAATTTAAAAAAATATCGAAATATTACACACTTTGTTCACAACTACAACCTTGTTTTCACAAATACAAGTACATTGTAGATATAAATTCCCCTCAAATAAATTTTAAAATGAAAAAAATTTAAAATCTGATACTTAAAATTTTTTAAAAAATAGTCGGTGGGACGCAACTTACATACTGGCGGGCCACGTGTTTGACACCCCTGTTTTAAAGCATTCAGTTGCACTGAAATTTTATGGAGACGATTTTTTTGGATGACAATACGATACTTTAATGATAATTAATAAAAGTTAATTACCACTTAATGTTGTGTTTCTGTCATATGTATATACATATTTATATTAATTGTAACCATTTAATGAAAAGTAGCTAAAATAGATTGAAGGAATTTTGAATTTTCAATGTACACTAATTTTAATTTTTTTGCAACAAAAATGAATTGCTTTTGTTTTACAAATGTCACATAGATTTTGTTACTCCTTTTTTTTGCACGTTTTTTTTTGGAAAATATTTAGAAATATATTTTCCATTTTACACGATTTTTTAAAATTGTGGAACATATCCTTAAGTTTACCATGTGTCGCATGTATTTTTTGAAGCGTTTTTCTTACAACGTTTTCCAAGGAACGTATCTACCATGTGAGAAAAAATGTTGGGTGAATGGAGTTTTGAGTAACTTTTTTGGCGACTTTTAAAATAGACTGCCAAATATTCTTAATTGTTGCCGCTTGCCAGAGTAAAATTGTTATTGAACAAAATAAAGTTCAAGAAATCTTTCGATTTTTAATGTCGATAAAAATAAAGCGTGAGATGCACAAGTTGGTGATTTTAAAAGAGATTGCCAAACAATATTAATAAATGAAAAAAAGTCTACGAGAATAAATTCGGGTATTTACATATTACACTCTCGTCCAGGATTTTAAATCGAAAGATGTCGCCAAATATCACGATATGCGGCCAATAGTGAAAAACTGTTCTCATGCATGTTCCAAAAATTGCAACATTTGGCGACGTCTTTTTATTTGGAGAAATGGATCGTTGATATAATACTTAAGCATCTAAATTTGTTATAGAACCTAAATCGCAAAAAATCTTTCGATTTGAAATGTCGGTTAAAATAGTGCACAAGGTGCGTACACACACAGAGATTGATAACTTTTGAAATAGATCACCAAACAATATTAAGGGTTGCTAAAAAATGTTTTCCTGTATAAAATTGTTATCGAACCCAGCAATCGTTAAATTTAGCCCACCCGCAATACTTTATTTTAACTTTAAGCATTTTATTTTTAGACTTTTACTCAGTGGCGTAGCGTGGGTGTGTGTGCAAAGGGTGTCATGACTCCGGGCGGCAAGCATCGCGATATTTAAATTATTTAAATTCAAAAAGTATTTCACACTCCAAATCGCGCCCGCGCGACGAAACTGACGGAAAAGAGTGAAAGCTTTAATACACGCACAGAAGCAGGAAGTTTGTTAGTCGCTATGCAATCGCATTTGTTTTTATGTTACTAAGGCTTCTGGCAACCGGTACTGTGTGACTACATATCCATCAATGTGCTAAAAAATACATGTTTTAGTAATAGATGCAAAACGAGAAGAATTCGTGGATGACGCTTTAATATATGCTAAAAGTTTATGTGAAGAGCTTAAAATTTCTTTTGAACCCCCAAGACGAATCAGGGGGAAGCATGTATTTGGCGACGGAAGTAAAGATGTTCAGTTATCGTACGAAGATGACTTGAGGCGAACAAAGTTTTCTTCAATAGAAAGAATAACTGCTGAAATTCGAAAAAGATTCAAACAGTTGCAGAATCGAGCGCAAAAATATGCTTTTTTAAGGCTTGAAATGATATTGAGCATGGACGAACTTAACTTAGATTAAGCTCCTCAAGACATTAATAAAGAAAAATTCCAACTAGAGCACGTACGTCTACAAGATTTCGTAGCTGCTACAGACTTGGTCTGTAAAAAAGAACTCATTTTAGGTCCAACTCTCTGGGTTTATTAAAATATATTATAGAGTCCAAACTTGAAGATGGCTTACCAAACAGTCATAATGTTGAGAATTTTTCAACATCTGCCATCAGTCATGCCAGTTGCGAGAGAATTTTCCCTAAGCTAAAATTAATCAAAAATTATCTCAGATCTCATATGTCCACGTTAAGGCTAACAAATTTAGCTAATCTGGCAATTGAACATGACATACATATTGATATTGACAATTGTATAAAAGCTTTTGCTATGAAAAAAAAATACGAAACGTGCATTTGTAATCAATAATAAAATTTAAAGCTGCTTTTTTTACTTTTACTAATTTTCTTGACTAAAAATTAAAATTGAGAGATGTCAAATTTCCGGTCCGCCCCAGGTGGCGAAAGGCCACGCTACGCCACTGCTTTTGCTAATTAAAAGTATGTATTTCTAAGAATATCTTGAGTTCTTTGCTTAAAAGTATTCTGTATTCAAAGTAAATTCAATAGAATTTTACAAAAGGACGTAATATATCAAATAGTTTATCGTTTATTTTGAAAGCTTTTTGAATTATTCCACAATACGCTTCTTTCTTTTTTCATTATTTGACCCAACAACACCAAATGGTTATCCTGTCGAAATATTATAAACTGAATTCGATAACTCGTTACTGATTATGTGAGCGAATCATTATATCGACACATTCATTTCTTCTAAACATTGCTTTCGTCATGTTTTCTCATGGGATCGTTGAAACAGTCGAGGTAATCCAGAATTTTATCAATTCTATCCAATTACGAGTGCCTTTTCTGTTCCAACGTGAGAAAAAAGAGTAACTTCAAGGATATATGTAACTTTATAACTCATTATGCGAGTTACAGTGGGAAAAAAAGTTATTTTATTAATTTAAGCTCTTATCGAAGTCAAACAGTAATCTCATTCCATAAAAAAAAGAACTCGGTAAATCCTTTTATTATTTGTATCTTTACGATTACCCACAATGCATTTCACTGAGCAAGGGCACTGATTTCATTCACCATTTTTTTGTTGTCTGATGTGAATGACGGGAATCTTTTGTGGTGTTCGTGCGACCTTAGACTGGATGATCATAATCCTCTATCTCTAATTATGAAGGAAAACATTTCGCTACATTTTTTTTTACTCACGCGATGAAAGTGTACTGTTATGGAACGAGAGTTTGAACTAGAGAGTTTGCGAAGTATCATCTTCGAAAGAGGTATTGATTTATTTTTGAAATTAAATAAACTTACGATAGAAGGGGGTGAGAATCTTTATAATAGGAAGAATTTTATATCTGTGGTTTTTACTTTCTTTTTTTATCGTTTTTCAATTCCTCTACTTATTAGTGCCCTCCCCCCTACATCTTTTTCAAATTTTCAATGGTTAGTAAAATACTTTTTTTATTCATCCACACTCGTAGTGGATTACACTTGTTAATACAGTTTTTTCAAATATTAATTCATTAGTTCTATTTAATTAATGATAAAAAAGTAACAAACAAAAATAATTGTCCAACACCCTATATAAAAAGGAAAATCGCTCATTGTGTCCCTGGGGCACAATGCATAGCGCGTTGGACTTCTAATCCAAAGATTGTGGGTTCAAATCCCAGCTGGGATGGGTTTATATATGAGAGTGGGATTTCTTCTTAACTATTCTATTTTATTAGAATAAGTAAATTTAATGAAAGAATAAATAGTATTCCAATATCCTATATAAAAAGGAAAATGGAAAATTTCAGGGAAAATTGCTTTCTATTTTGCCATTTAATATTGTGATTCTGACATACGCATATACATATTTATATTAACTGTAATTATTTAATAAAAAATAAATAAATAAAACTTTTCGTTGTTGAGACCTGAGTAGGAATTGACTTAATTTTTTATATTACTTGTTTAGAATGATTTCATTCTGTTCTGTTGATTCTACATCCTCCAGCACACACACACACACAAGCCCATGCTCATTTCCTAAAGTTAATTTAAGCAACTGGATGAAAAATTGAAATGAATAGTATCTTCTGCTTTTTATAGTAATAATCCCAGACATAAAACGTTAGCTAACCTATCGTAATACACGAGCCTTTTATTTCTTAAAATATGCCAATTCCGTATTCTATAATTTAAACATAAATGTGTCCAAAACCAAAGTTATAAACATAATTATTGCAATTTATAGAAGTACTTAAAACTGTTATTTTAAAAGTTATGTTATATTGTGTAATTTGGTAAATGATTTTAGTTTCTGCATCCGATTTATATTTAATACTAAAGGAAGTCGTTTTCTATTTTTTTAAAAAAAAAACCCGAAAGTGGAATTTAAAATTAAAATGCGGAAGTTTTCTGAAATTACCAAATTTGTGTGTGAGATTCCATTTTTTTAAAAGAAAATAATACCACCTGCACAGATTGCAGTTGAAATATCCCCATGAAATCGTTTAGACGATGAATTGTTAGTAAACTGGAGGTAACTAGAGGCTGTTAGTAAACAAGAAGTTAGAAAGTCACACACAGTCACCAATGGACTAAATTCCTGTGACATCATAGTCACATGATAATGACAAACACGTGTTTCTTGCCAATTAGTTCATTAATTCATATGACTTCAAAATGATACCAAAAATGCAATCATGTGATTCCACCTAGTCAGTTCATGCGCTTTGTTGTTGCCAATTTTTGCTTTTTGCAGAAGCTGTCTTTTTAAAAGTGCATAGTATTTATTAACAATAATAACATACATAAGTAAATAAATTTTAAAGAACACAAAAATAAAATAAGATTTCTTTTTAATTTTAAGATATTTTGATAGGTTTTTTAATCATTATATGGGAAAATCTTTACCAAATTATGAAATTTGAACTTTTTTATCTAAATTTTACAAAAAGAACGATAAGTACAGGTTAGTTTAACGACAGTTTTGAATTAAATCCCGAACACGTGACTGCCTTTATCATGTGACCGTCATGAATTGAGCCCATTCGTTTTTGTGGATGATAGTGCCCAATACATCGCTGCACTTGTTGACGACTGTCTAGAAGAAGGTATTTGTCGTATGGTGGGGACTTGGATGTCTACAGATCTCAGTCCCAGATACCACTTATCAAATGTTCTATGAAAAGCCATTGCCTGTTGACAAACTGCTTGAAGGACTTTTCAGGCGTTAAAATCGGCTTGTTTGTAAGAATAGGAATTATTGCCATAATATCTTTAACTAGACTTTAGCATACAAGATAATAATCAACAATTATATTTATAATATGAGCGCACATTGTGAAGCTTGTATAGCTGTACAAGGTGATCACACCTTGCGATTAAGCGATTAATACAGTTACAAATAAAGATATAAACTTTTTCTCCTTCAAAAATAACTAAGATTTGCTTTCAAGAGATCCAATCTTTCTTTTTTTTTCAACATTAACTGATTGTTTTCGAAAAAAAAGGCCAGCCAAATATTCAATTACCACCCACTAAGTTGGGAATTTTTCTGAATTATTCATTTTTAATTTTGATTGAATAATTATTTTTAATTTTAATTAGAAATAAACAAACGTAAAATTTAATTAGTTTCCAAGCTTTAAATAGCGATATTAATTTAAATACTTTCATTTAGTTTCATACACGAAGAAAATCGAGGGATAAAAACTATATTGAGCTTCCATATAAATTTTAGAACATTGGAAAGGTTTGCAAGGGAATTTTTGTAAACAAGAAGATTTTGAAAACAAATAACAGGAGAGGGGGCAGCTAATTAGCTGTTGTAATAAAGCATTTTTAATTAAATTATCCAAATACTTTGTGACATATTATAACTTGCACAAATATTAAATATTAATTAACTAATCTAGGAAAAGTATTAACGCAGAGGAAAATACAAGTTATCAAGTCTCAAGCGAGATATTGTTTTCGACTGCAAATACTCTGGATTTTTTTCTCAAGGAATTCTAAGATAACTGTAAACATGTTTACACATTAGGAAGCGTTTGTACTTCATTGTTATGGTAAAAAATAATGACTTCAGACTTTATTTTGCTACGTGAAATTATTTTCTTTCTGTAAAATAAGTGAATTAATTTAGTAGATGTATTAATTAAGAGAAAATGTAAAAGTAGTCATTGACTAATTATTTCTTTTTTTATTTCTTGATATGTCGTCGGTAGGCTAGGGGTCGCGGTCGGCGTATCATGAATTAGAGCCTTAGAATCATTGAACCCCCTCCCCCACTTACTAATGCTAAATCTATCCTGTCTGCGGCGTCGTGCGGTAGTTTTCAGTGAGGGGTGCCAACTCAAATGTAGTCCTCGTCAGTTGACCATGGTTTATAATGAGGCTGATTCACAGACATTGAGACGCCTAGTCGAAATCACGTGACGAGGATAGCAACATTTCCCCACGTTTTGAATCAGCGTGTAAATTTCGTATGCTTGATATGTTTACTTCTTGTGTGTGAAGTTTATTTCTGAAATTTTATTTATTTTTATTATATTTTTGCATTATCCTTGTTTAATAATTAGGTATGAAGTATTTTTCGTAATTTTTTAGCATAATTTTTGTTTCAGTTTAGTATATTTGTCATTAGGTGTTAGTGTGCGAAGCCGGTAGCTTCTTGCAGTGTTTGTTTATATATTTATTAATAGTTCTAGATTATTTTTTAGCATCCTAATAATAAGTCCTTTGTTTTCATGTAGTTGATTATGTTTATTTACGCACGAAAATGATTTACAGTATAGAATTGAGACCATTGAATTTGGAAAAACTTCTCATATGTGTACAATTACTTATTGGTACATATAGTGTATCACTCCTCATAAATTCAGAAAATAGTGTAATTTATAAGAAACATGCCAATATGAAATGGTCCCAGTTTGAAATATTAATGTTTATACCTTTCATTCTCTGATTCCCGTAGTAAATACCATCTACAAATATTTAATGTTTTTAGAAATACTATCTCTATAATTTCTCATAGAAGAGTATGGAACATTCAGAAACAGGAAATCCAAGTAAATATAATTTTGGAAATGAATTTATAATAAAATTTGTCAATGAGAGACATGGATATGTTTTTGTTTATTTAAAAATTTTCATACCTATTTCTAATGTTTAACAAGAGATTTATACTTTTTGAGAGCAGAGTGTATAAAATAATAGTTGGTTAACAATGAAAGTTTTTGATTAATAATTAGGAATTCTTCTGCGATGGAAATGAAATAGTTTTTAACATCATTTAAAGGTTTGTGATATCTGAAATAATCTCATTATAAACAAACATTTGATATGTTTTATAGTTTGACTTCCTTTGTAATCATTACCCTTCAAAAGGTTTGATTTTTTTTAGAAATGCCTGTCTCCAACATTTAGAAAGAAATGAACTTGACTTTTTAAAAATAAATTAAGAAACATGCTTAAAGAAATAGGCTTTTTAATAAAATTATTTTACAGTAGAACAAATTAAATTGTTTTCATGAAAATTTCTCATATAATGAAGCAGAAAATTCTTATCGGACAGTTTTATTCAATAATCATACTCATTTTAATATACATTATTTATTGACACTTAATTTTAACATTACATGAATACACTATAAGTAAATAAAGCATACTCTATATGAATGTAACACTGTACTATAAGGACAAATAGAGAACAAATAGAGGATCTAACTGACTAACTAACCAGATTAAATGAAATATCCTAAGAATTTTAGAATTTCAGATCTTAAATCTATAAATCAACCTTCTGAATTTACATAAAACAAATTAGAATACTTAAATCATACAACTTATAGAAAGAAGTTTCAAATAAAAAAAAACAAATACACATATAAAATGGCAAAGTAACTATTTTTTGTAAAATATCTCGATACAATTTTTTTCATGTCCAATACAATTTCAAGTACTATAAACCTTTGTATAACATTTGTTTATCATACCTGTAAAATTACATATTAAATACTAAAGCTTATATTTATTTTTAAACCACCCTAAATTTCCTTACATTAAGTTTTATTTTTATTAATAAATCTTTACATTGCATATACTTCATCAAAATAAAATTGACAAAGGATTTTCTTTCTTTTTTTTTGAATTTCACACTAATTACAAAATTCCTACACTCTGTTCCTTTAAAATATATGAAGCATTATCTTCTGTTTTAATGGGAATATTTGATTTTTTTTACACTGAACATTCCAACACTTAATGCATACCTATTTCTACCAGTTATCGTATGTATAGTGTTAAATATATACTTCAAATCATCCAAACTTAAACTTATTCGGATTAATGCATTGACATGTTATTTTGTTATCACTGATTATGCATCTAAAGTATCCTTATATACATAATTATATTTATGCTAAAAAAATTTAAAATGAAACAACATTAAGAAAATAGATTCAAAATTCTTGCTCTGAAGTCTCTTGTTTGAAAATATATTAACTTCAAATATAAAATTAATTACTTCAAAGTTTATCTAAGAAATGCTAAATCAGTACTCATACCATTCGAAAATTTGGAACATACATATTAAACTGCCAACTAATTTCGCCATTCAAAAAGACATCCGAATTTTAAAAAAAAATTATATCACTATAATTACTGTTTTCAAACATGATCATGAAC